CCCAGGAACCATTGGTTACCAAAATACGGGGAATGTGTATAGACAGACTGCACTCTGCCCGTGCAGACGCTGGGGAAAGATGAGTTGTTGTTCCATGGCATGTGTAACTAGATTGTGGAATTTGTACGTTGGGTTTCAGGAGAATGGAAATGTTTGTTTGGAGTGAGGTCGTCATTATATTTTGCTGAAATAATCAAGGTTTGGTAAGACTTAGGCCTGTTTATAAAACTAAATCCAACCCCTGTAGATGTTACAAACATTGTATGCCTTCAGAATTTGGGGGTTTGTTTTGCCCACTTCTTCACAGGCAAATATTTGGCAAGGACCAAAGGAAGCATGCCACAGAGTAGAATAAGTTTACCATGTTTGACAGAGCCATAAAAATCAGGTAAAGGCAAGAAAAATACCTTAACTTTCAGCTAGTGACTTTCCACAGATCTCTTCCTACAACAGTAGCTTCTGCTTGTCCCTTTTACAGTTGTGAGTGGTTCAGGACATTGTGCCCTAGCCACAAACTTTTGATTTTCATGTTGATGCTGATATTTTTACCATGTTGAATAAGAGTAGAAGAGCCTTTTGCAGTGCAGTGTAATGGTGAAGTCCAGCACTGTACAGAAGTGCCATCCATGTCAGCACAGGAATTGCTTTGCCCGCTCACCATGGGGGACAGGTGATTAACCTAAACCCTCTGCCTATAACTGAATTTTATTGAGTGCAATGAAGTGCAATGCACAGAATGTCCACTTAGTATAGGAAAAGTACAGCTTTGTAATGTCAGCTCTGAAAAAAAAAACCCCAAGGACAACAAACACGCTAAAAGTATTCCTAATTACAATGAGGAACAAAGCAGCAGAGAGATCGTTAGCATTCTGGATTGCTAATTAGTGCTCAAATATTGCTCTGGTGAAGCAGGATAGACACTTAGATTTGTCTGGTGAAGCCCGCTAGGACTGCATTAACATGTGGTCTCAAACTGTATTTTGTCCTTCATAACTGATTTCCATAGCCAAGCTGTTTATTGTGTTTAAACTATTACCAACATATTACAAAGTAAGTGAGAAGCTCGTAGATGCAAAACTTTGAACTGTAGTGACAAAACGTGCTAACGTCTTATGATGAGTGAAGGAGTGCGAAGGACCAAACGAAATCAGAGCTCCTGATCAGACACCCCCACGCTACTCCGCGTTGCTCTGTGTACCAGAGGTGTGGTGGGACTCACCACGGCCACCTGGCACCTCGGTCTCATCTGTACGCTGCCATCTCGCCGGGACTGCGACAGCCCAAACCTTTGAGCAACTTCCAACAGCCATCATTAAAAAAAAAATTATAAAAAAATTTACAACGGAGAGCAATGTCTGGGTTGTTTGTATTTCCTTTGTATTTTCTCCCCCTTGCCCCAAAGTTAGGTTTTTGGCCTGCCCAAGGAACAAGCTGATCAGGCAGCGCAGTGCCTGGGCGGGCAGGAGGCTGAGCCCTGTGCCCGGGGTGGCTGCAGCAAGGTGAGCTGCTGTCCTGGGCTGCCAAAACCCAGCCTCAGCTGCTGCTCCACAGAGACACAGAAATACCCCGGGGCCTTCTCTACCTGCTCGATGTCTGGCTCCAGGGAAGGTGTTACATATGGGAGTTTCCAGGGGGTGAGGTGTTCAGGGCGTGAGAACAGCCCTCTGCAGCCACAGGGGGCTGCAGGAGGGGAGGCAGCTTTCCTCCAGCACAATCCCGTTCATTATCACCTCTCTTTTGCTAAAATCAGCCCACGGGCAGTCCTGGGGTAACTTGGATCTGGGCACAAACATGGTTTTTTGTGTAAGGGACAGTTTCCACCCCTGAGCTCTTTGCTGGGATCCTGTGCTGTGCTACAGAAGCACTGGACTCGCTGTCCATCAGCCTGGCCAAAGCTCTCTGTGGGCAGGGGCTGCGTTCCAGCTCCTGTCCAGAAATGCAGGACACATTGTTCCCACACAGGAGCAGGGATCAGCAGTGTGATTCAACTCTTAACAAGCAAAAGGCTGTTGTGTGTTCCTGTGATCCTCTCTGCAGCATGGGGATTTGGACAGCTCAGGGACCTTGGAACACCCTGGACAAGCTGCCAGCCACACTCACGATACTGCACTCAATCTTTTTTTTTTTTCCAGTTTTTGACAACCTTGAATAACTTCATCACCACTCAGGCTCATTGTCACAGGAAATTTAGACATTTGCTGGGATACATGATCACTACATTCACAAAAGTTAGTCCTCCTCTAAAATAATTATTCCTAATTTATAATGAGTCATTAAACCTCAAGATCTCCACTTATACTGTGAGGACTCCGAGGTTTAGAAACCTCTAAAGGATCCTGGCAGGTTTTTGACCATCAAAGCACACACCTGAAGACCTTCCCACTGAACCCAGTTATGAGAATTTAATTTCTCCCTCCTGTCACACTCACCCCAGGGCTAGATTCCAGCCCTTCTCATAGGATCACCTGTCCAGCACTCCTTTAGTTCCTCTGATCATTTCTGCAACCCTTCCCAGAAACTGAAGTCACACATTGCCTTCGACTGCCTGATGGCAAAGGTGCCAGGTGGCTTTAGTCATGCTATGTAACCCACACCTTTGTAGCTCAGCAATTTAAGAATCCCAAGGACCCATAGGAACCCAGCTCTGGGAACATACAATTTGATTTTATTGACTATTCTTTAACACCTCTTGGCATCATCAGCACACTTGCTCGCTGCCTTGGAGATGAAAGCACATGGAAAAGGGGCAGTCAGGGGCTGCACCGTGCTTGTGTCCCAGGCTGTCATGCCAAGGGCCTGTCCCTGGAATCCTGCCATTCTGGAAGCCTTCACCTGTGCTCTCATTTCACCCTTGCTGCGACACAGTGCTGCACTCAGCCTCCTCCTCAGCACCCTGCTCCTGCCAGCTGGCACTGCAGGGCAGATCTCAGGGCAAGCAATGGGCAGCAGTATGAGAATCTCACCCCTCCTTTCCCCAGCCTCTTTTGGAATTAAGACACCTAAAATTCAATGTAGATGAGCATTACCCTAAAATATCTATTTGCAGAAACACTTGGCAACCACTGGGCAACACTTTTCATCTCATCTACACATAGAGCTCAGGATAAAGATGCATTATGGATTTCCAGCTAATGCTGCTTTGGGAAGTTTGGGCTTCATTTTCCTAATTAGCTCCAGACATTGTTTGCTTTCTTGACCATTACTGAAGCCAGAGCACATCTGTTCCAATATGGACCTTCAGTCAGGAATGTGCTCTTGCACTGCTCAGAGTCACCACTGTTGGGTGAAATTTGGATTCTTAACCACATGCTTCAGTTCACACTACACCGAGTTTCCCTTTCTATCCAGTCCTCATCCTCACTAGTCTAAAGTCAGTATGGCTAAAATTCCCTGCCCTAATCCACTGACTTTCCTAAACTAGACAAGAGGGCTTCACACATTCCATAGGATCACTGACCCAAGGTCCCCAAATGCCTTTGGCATAAAATCCTGCCAAATGCCTTTTGAAAATAAAACAGTACAAGAGGCCTTCTCCCTATCCCTGTAGACTCTTTTAAAGAGCTGCACAGGTCTTCTGGGACACAACCTGCCATTGAAACACCACATTTATCCTCTCTCATGATCTATGTTTCGAAATCCATTCTTTATTATAGTTTGTTTTCCTTGTACACAGGTCCATCTCACTAGCTCAGGATACCCACAGACCCACATTTATAGCAGGTATCACATTTGTTCCACGCAAGAGCTGAGCCCTGTGAGGTGGCCAAAGGAAGCAGCTTCTCACACTAAATACTGAGACAGGCTGAGAGGAGACATGGAGTCAGGGCCAAGACAGGTGGTACATATTAAAGGGTTGATATCTGATCACAGATGATTGTGGCAATCTTTATTTTGAAGGAGCAACCTTTTATCAGCCAAATCTTACAAAGCCTTCCCTGAACATCCAGACAGTAAAACAAAAATGGGAATTTACTCCGTTTTCTACAAAGCCCAAAGCACCTGGGCTGAAAAGAGCTCTGCCCATACAGCCTACAGGCCATCATTCCCCAAGAGAACTCAGCTGAGAGCAAGGCAGCTGCGTGGAGACAAGTGAGAGCTTCCTCTTGCCCTCAAGATGGGAAATGGAGGCACTTCTATGCCTTCAGTGCACCCTTAATGGGCAAGCAGGAAAGCAACTGAAATGAGATACCACTGAGCAACAGCTGTGTAGAAAAAAATTACAATCTTCTGCCTGAAAGCAGCACCTACAGCTGCTTTATCTGGCACAGGCAGAGGTGTTCATGAGGAAGCTCCCAAATCTATAGCCTTTGACTGACTGACTGCTCAGAACCATGCTATTTAACCTTTGTCTTCAAGGTAACTCCAGATATGGTGGTCCAAATCTATTGGGATTTACTGTTTTTTAAGAGTTTCCCATTGTAGGAGGTGAACTGCAGGGCAAATTAAGCCGAACTCCTGCAGGATAAATTAGGCCCTCTCCTGCAGTGCCTTAGAAGCAGCACAGGTGACACCAGGCCAAACACTGGTCCAGGGACACCCACACTGTTACTGCTTTTTAGCAAGGGCAAAAGCCCTTGGATTGACACTGAAAAACTCCAGTTTTTATCCACGCTGAGTGCTTCAGAATCACCATCCCATAGGAACAGCTGCAAGTCAGGGTAAAAGAGCAGATAATGATTTTTGAATTATTTTGTGGCAAGTAAACTACTGTATTTTTGGTACTGGACATACAAAGGGGTCTTACATGTACCCAGAGCAGAAACACCACTCAAGCTGGAGTGTGGAAAGAGAGGGCAGCACATGTAATGCCAAAACAAACTCTGTGCAGCAGGACACTGGTGCAAGACTTAAGGCAAAATAATCTCTAGTGATCAACATCCAAGAGCCACAAGAGTAAATATTGTGGGGTAATTTGAGGGGCTCAGTTGGCATCACAGAACCAGAAAGCAGAGCTGAAGAACTGAGGAAAGGGATAGAGAACATTCCTTATTTGTATCTTATGCATGTTATTTGTCAGTTTTTATGGTAACAGTTTACAAAATATGACAAAAATTTGGTTTTGTAGCCTCTCCTTTGGGCCAGGTCTGCAGAAACATCATCAGAAGGTCTGGATATCTGTGATCCAAAGTGCAGCTCAACACTTCACTCCTTAGGAGCTTTCTGGGAAGTAGGAACCCACACTGCTCATGTCAGGCTAAAAGACAAAACAGAAAGAAGGTTTAGTTGTTCCAGAATGCAGAAGGCATTTCTAAGTACCAGCCTCAGTCAGTTCTCACCTTCCCACTACAAAGACCCAGAAGAAATTTCCTTTCCTAGGAAAGGACCTATGAAAAAAGGGAAGCAAGACGTGGCTGCTAACAGCCAGCCACAGAATCAGACCTCTCAGGCTGGCAAAGGCAAACTGCACACTTAGCCTGGCCCAGGTAATGATCTACAGCTCAGAGCAGGTTTAATTACAGCTCTGATATGCTCAGAGACATCAAGAATTTGTACCCAAACTGTAAAAGGGAAAAGAATAATTTAAAGGGTTTTCCACTGAAGGAACTCCTTATGCCATGAACAATTCCTAGATTGTGGCTGAGAACTCAGCAACCCAAGTTGCAATGCTCAGGAAGTTCAGGAACACACTTTCAGCACCACGTCAGTGGTGCTCAGGGTTGTAACTCAAGGCCCAAATTCAGTTCCCAGAGGACATTCATCTGTGCTTATGCCTAAATGTAAAAACATTTGCTTATGAAAAACATTTACATACATTAATGAATGGGAAAGGTCCCATATCATTATCACTCCAGACAGAAAACAACACCTGCCTCATATTAAAAAGCAACTTGGACAAAGCCTTTAACAAAAAGGCTTAAAAAAAAATTCAAGTTAGCAGTTTTAAATATAAGAGGTTTATGGCAGCAGCAGCTGACAAGTTCTGCAGTCTTTCTGGTTGCACCAACCATTTGAAGTAACAGTTGAGTAATTACAGTGATCAAAAGCAAAGACGACAAGTAAAGTCACTGGTATTTTAACTTTTAAAGCAAGATTTGTTTAAAAAAAAAACATTATGCCATAGCTAAGCACTGAACAGTTAGGAAAGAAAATGTGCCAGCTGAAACAGATGTTAGTTCTCACAGAAAGGATTCTCATTGCAACAGAATATTCCATAACCCAATGAGTAATTGCTATCATTAACCAACAAAAGGGGAGAGGAAGTGAACAAATTATAATTAAAGCAGACAGATCAACTGTGAAACCAGCTGCTTTTGTAACAAAATCTCGCCTGCTCTGATCACGACTCTGCCCAGAGGCGGATCCTCCCTACCTGTCAATGAGGGAATCCCTCATGTTGGTGGCGATGGTGCTTGGCTGGGCCTCGTTGAGCCTGAAGATGCTCTCGATGACGGAGAGCTCGGTGCTGGTGGTGTCCAGCCCGCAGAAGGCGCACCAGTCGTTGACCACCATCCCCGCGGCGATCACCTCGCTGCCGCGGTTCACCGTCCCCGCCTGCCGGACACAGCGGCCGTCAGCAGGGGCCCACGCAGCTCCCCACGCTGCCCTGGCCCAGCTCTTTGCTGGGGGCTCAGCTCACCCCGCTGCAGGGAGCAGCTCTGCCGCCAGCAAAGTTCTGAAGGTGCCAGATAAATGATTAATGAACAGGCTTGACTCTCTGGTGGGAAACTGGTGTGGCATTCAGTGACAGAGGATCCAATGAGCGGGAAGGACAACAGCATTCACACATCCAGCTGAGCAGGCACAGGAGTTTCTTACTTAATCTTTATAAACACTGGTTTCAGCCAAACCACAAACAGCCTCACATTCTGCATCTGCACAATGTGCACAATCCCAGCAGAGCAACATTTCAGGAGGCAGCTGAAAGCACTGAGCAGCTTATTCATACTCAGGAAGGACAGGAAACTGTCTGGAAGACTTGGTTCAAGTCTTCTCCTCACCTCCCACTCAAAATCACTTCACAGAAAAACAGTATCTGGGAGCCCTTGAGCTGGAGAAACATTGCACCTGAGCTGGGAGGGAATGGGAGGAGCAAACACTCCACAAATGCCTTACCACGAGTGGGACCTGCAGCAAAGAGGACAGCTCATCCTGGTCATCGATTGAAGTCTTGGGGTGCACGATTCCTCCTTGGTTACTAAAAACACAGTAACTTCCAACCAGCACCTGGTCTGCTACTGTTTGTCTGAACACCTCCACCTTCAGCACATCTGCCAGGATCTCTTCTGTCTCCTGCAAATGGAAGGAGGATAAAGCCTTCAGTCAAACAGTACTGTGGAGTGGGAAGTCAAGCTATTCCTGCACACAGCCCTCAGCTGGGAGCCTCCCACACTGCACAGCCCACTGCAACCCAGCCACAACACACACAGCCAAGCTCCACACTCCACATGTTCCCAGCTCCCTGTGTCACTACAAACACAACCTCGTGCCTTTGCTGAGGAATGCCCAAATTCCCTCTCTCTACTGGCAGTACATCACTTGTACCAATTCTCAGCAAACCAGTCCTCTTTGCTCCCAAACCACTGGGACAAAATGGTCTTATGCTTCTCATAAATCTAACAACTTCCTTCCTCTCCAGATTTCACCGTGAATTATTTTGATTTCTCTCTCTCTCTGGCCATCTTTATTTTTCACACTTTTTTAAAACATAGCACAAAACCTTCTCCCATCTCCTTATTTTTCCCTTTGCACTCCTGTCACTAAGTCCCACTCCTTCATCACCTTTAGCACAAGCTGGAAGCAAACACTGTCAGGATCTGCAGCCACACAACACATCAGTGCTGATAAGGTTAACTGTTCTCAGATATAAAATAGGAGTGACGTTGTCTCCTCTGCCCTTATCTTAAACTCTCATACAAGAGTTTAGTATGTTCTCATACAAGAACCTCATACAAGTATGTTCTCATACAAGAACCTTCTATTTTTCTTTCAGACCCCTGTAATGATGCACATCCATGGTCTCTTTCAGCTATGACATGCTCTGGCTCACTCATCTGTAGCTTGTAACTCCTCCTATGGTCCTCCCTGCACTCCTCCTTACCCTCCTCATCAGACCCATGCACACTCTAATTCACCCGATTTTATGCACCCAAAGCAAACTGCACCCAATGATCGCTGATTTACAGAATACTTTTGGCTAGAGGGACCTCAAAACTCTTCCCATTCCACCCCCTGCCAGGGGCAGGGACACCTTCCACCACACCAGGCTGCTCCAAGCCCTGTCCAACCTGGCCTTGGACATTTCCAGGGATGGGGGCTTGAGCTTCTCTGGGCAACCTGTGCCAGGGCCTCACCACCCTGCCGGGGAAGAATTTCTTCCCAACATCCCATCTAGCCCTGCCCTGTGTCAGCGGGGAGCTGCTCCCCCTTGTCCTGTCCATGACACACAGGACCCCCCACCCTTCCCTTCTCCAAAGCACACTCACCGCCGTGCGCCGCAGGGAACAATTCCAGCCTCAAACACTGGCCAGCATTCCCCAGCCCCACTGTGAACACAGAAAAGCCCCAGAGGCCTGTACCCTGTCCAGATCCGGGTGGACCAGAGCCACGTAGTCGTTGCAGGTGGTGACGTTGCCCAGGGCCGAGAGCCGCTCCTCCACGCGCTGGATGCGCACCGAGTCCGGCAGGCTGTTCCTGATGTGCTGCAGCTCCTGGTCTGTCGTGCTGCTCGGCACCAGCAGCCCGTGCCTGTTCCCTACCACCGCAAAAGGAGACACAGTGAGTGAAAATCATGTTCCCAGAGGGCGTGCTAGCAGCACTTCCCTGCTGTTCGCACCTGGCTTGAGCTGCTCCTGCTCTGTGCATTTCTTCCGAGCCCAGAATTCAGCCCAGGAGGTGTAAAAACAACCAGCGCCTCAGGAAATGAAACCTGGCTGAAGCAGAGCGTGGCTGAATGGCTCCATCTTTACCCCCTTCTCTTCCAACAGGACAAAAGGAGGCTCTCAGGGAGACACTGAACAAGGAACTCTCCGTGCAGATGCCATTGGCTCTACAAAAGGCCTGGTACTACTCTTTGTGTGACTGTGGCAGCACGACCGAATGGTTAAAGAAAAAATAAGCAAGAACTGGTATGACCTAACAGGGTCTCACCAGGCAGAGACACATGAAAGGCTTTTCCCTGACTTTCACATCCAGTAATGCCTCCCCCTCCCCGGGCACCGAGGAGCAGCCGAGCTCCCCTGGCCCCGAGAGCCAACACTCCCCCACCCCGGCTCCGGGCGAGTCTCTGTTTCCCTACGTCCTTCACAGAATCAGCCAGGTTGGAACAGACTTTTGAGATCATCCTTCCTCCTCCCCACGCACTCGAGGCACTAAAACAACCCTCGGAGGCGAGGGGCGCTGCCCCACGGGCTCCGACCCGCGACCTTTCCCGAGCCCCGGGGCTCCCCCGCTCACGTACCCACACACATCCTGCCGATGATGCGGCAGCCGGCGATGGAGGCGTGAACCACCGGGATGGTGCCGAAGAGCTCCCCCTCGAACACGCTGCAAGGAGAAAGCGCCGCGTCAGGAACCCGCGGGGCCGCGGGCCGGGCCGGGCCGGGCCGGGCCCCTCACCTGTAGAAGTTCTCGGAGCCGCCGATGGCCACGAGGCAATAGGCGTTGGTGAGCTTGGCGAAGCAGCCCAGCTCGTTGTTGTTCTCGAAGCTGGCGCGGACCGCCATGGCAGGAGCGGGAATGCGAGCGGGGCCCGGACTCGCGGGAATGGAGCGGGAACGGGACTAAGACGGGGGCCAAGAACGGGAATGGGAACGGAGCTGCGGCCGGGAAGGAAGCTGGAACGGGACCAAGATTGGGCCGAGAACGGGAACTGGGCGGGAGCGGGGCCGGGGCCCGGGCCGGGAAGGAGCTGAAGTGGGAACGGGAACAGGAACAGGAACGGGAATGGGAATGGGAACAGGAACGGGCCGCGGCGGCTCCGAGCGCCTCCGCCGGAACCACGAGGCGCCGCCGCTTCCGCTTCCGGCAGGGCGCACGCGGGCAGAGCGGCTCCGGCCGCCCTGGTTGGGGACGGCGCCCCCAAGCGGCCGGGAGGTCCCAGGGCGCGCTGCCATGAGGGGGAGCGGGGGCAGAACCGGCCCCGGGGCCGCTGAGGGACCGGGGCGGCCCAGGAGAGACCGGCCCGCGGCCACAGCACCGCCCCACGCACCGCTCGCCGGCCCGGGGCCCGCCACGGCCCTGGGGGACACAACCCGTGCCCGTGTGCCCGCATCCCAGCTGGGGCTGAGCCGGCCCGTGTGTCCCCACAGCCTGGAGAGCTGCCACGGGTCCGTGTGTCCATCGCTGTCCTTGTCCCTGGTGTCTGTTATGAATAAAAAGTTAGTACCCAGCGCTGTATTGCTCACTTTACCATCTTAATTAATACATTGATTGCTGCTTGAATATTGGCCTAGTCAAGCTTCTCATTTATAACAACAGTGTCACCTGTGAGCTGACAGGCCACCCCCGACCCCGCTGCCGCCTGAGCTGTGTCACCTGTGTCAGCTGCCACCAGTGCTCAGGTGTGCCCCCGAGCAGCCCCCAGGCGTGTGCTGACACCATGGATGTGCCATGTCAGCCATGTGCAGATGCCAAAGGTGCCCGGACATGTCCCTGGCCTGGCACAGCTCAGCACAGCCACACTCACAGCCTGGCACAGCTGGCCACACTCAGTGCTGACCCCCTCCACCAGGACCCAACACATCTTTTTCCAGCAGGACAACTCCTTTATTTTTCATATCCCCCTCCCTTTGGCCATTTCATCTTCACCATATGGATACAGGGAGAGGAATTGCTCAGCATGGAGTGAACCAGGGCTCACCCTGAAGACCTCAGTGGCCAGTTTACAGGTGTAGCAATGGCTTTGCTGTAAATTTGAGGGTGTGAGGAATAGCTACTTAGGAAATGGTTCTTTCCCAAATGGGTAAAAAGAATGTGGATTATATTTATGTGCTTTTCTCCCTCTTGCCACAATCATGTAATTGAAAATTTGAGCTGCAGTTGCTAATCTCGTCTGAATCAATCATCTACACAGATTAGACACCTTTTAACAGGAACAAGACTAATGTTTTGATTCCCAGTCCCAGGCATGATGATTGGCGGGGGAAAGCAACCCCTGGAAAATCAGAGCAGAGGCCAGCTCGAGGCCCAGGTCAGAGTTCGAACCGACTGTGTATATGTTTGGATTTTAGTTTGTTGTACTTGGTGATCAGGTCCAGCTTGCTGTGCCCCAGAGTCATCCTCTTCTCCGCCCCATACGCGCTGTTCTTTTCCAGCAGCACATCCTCTGGGAACTTGTCATAGCAAGGCACTACAGACTTTTTATCCCGTTTGAGGTGGTTGTATGGGGAGAAAAGGTCTAAATGGCCATGTCCGGGGCTCTGTCTCTTTTCTACCCCATAAAACACGTTCTCATTTTCAGCTGGCAGCTCCCCAGAGGTGGCCACAGGTGCTCTTGGCTTCAGGCTGGTCCCATTGCTGCCAGTGCCCTCCGACAGGGACTGCAGCGGCTGCCCTGCTCTCGGCGGGGAGCAGTGGCTGCTGTTGGCCTTAGTGTCCCCCTGGTTGCCAGGTTTATTGGAGGAAGGCTCCGGCTGCAGGAATGTCCTTGCTGTTATGAGGTTTGATTTGGGATACAAGGCTGGCGTGGGTTTATTTGGAGGACTGTTCACTGAGTCTGGTGGTTCTTCTTGCTGTTTAGGGCAAGTGGGCTTCATGAATGTGTCCTCCTTTCCCTTCTTATTGCCAGAATCAGAGCTGGAATCTTGCTTTTCCTGGTGTGCACTGCAGCTGGAGTTTTTCATAAAGGGAGACACTTTTATGCTCCTGATGCTCACATTGGAAAGGCTGCTGGAGGGGCTCAGGGTCTCAGTATCGTTCCCCTGAGTGGGTTTTAGAAGACAGTTGTCAACTTTTGAGGTATTCCAAGAAGAGAGGCACGTCCCAGGATCTGGCACACAGAAGTCGGTCACTGCTCTGGACTCTGCGTACAAATACCGGAATTCCTTTTCAAACTCTGCAACAATTTGCCCACGGAAGTGGGTCACCAAGCCAGTGTGGACTTGGCTGCAAAGCCAGGTGAAACTGCAGGAAAAGAGACAAAACACATGTTAACTTCAGTTCACAGGGTGCCAAAATACTTAGCATGGATTTTCACATTCCAGTGATGGATTGCTACCCGATTTGTGTCGTTACAACTTACAGTAAGTAGGCAGATGTAAGATTGCTTATGAAGATGAATGTGCTCATCAATAAGTACAAAAGAACAACCCTAAAGTGGTTGTTTGATTCTGCTCGGGGTCCACTGCTTTTCCCTCGCCTTGGCAGGAGCTGTGTTCTCCTGACATCCATGAGGGGCTTGTAGGAACTGCTTGGGCAGGCAGGAAATGAGAAACTGCCTTGAGGAGTGGAGGTCTCCAGAGACCTCCACAGAGATACCTCAGGACAGGAAAGCTGATGATGTTTGCTACAAGTATTGCTGTGGGATTCCCAAATGCAATAGAACTTAATTCTTGGCTCAACAAGTCCAGTCCCTATCCTTTCTTAAGTGTTTTGGGATCTTATCTGGGAGCTTATTCTACCTGAAAACCAAACTGGTTTTGCCCTAGCTGTGTAAAAACTTCCATTAATTGTGACTCTGCAAATTTTCCTTATCTGTTTAACCCTACCTCTTGTTTGTGCCCAAACTGTAACCTAATTAGCTCTTCCCCAGTATAGGTACAGATTGTAACCACATTCTCCTCATCTTCCTTTTCCTGATTAAGCAGGGAAGTTCCTCTCCAGAGTGGGATCCCCAGGCATCAGCTGATTTTTTATTCTTGCTGTAGTCACACCAGACCAGCAGACTAAATGTGTCAAATAAACCAGAATTTTCAGAGGTGCCAGTACCAGCTGAGGGCTGCGTTATTGGCTGCTAAAGCAAGACACAAGATTCTGAAGAGCAGAGTAGAATGATAGGAGTTCCAGGAGAGCAATTGTCATGAGACATTACATTCTCAAGTAAATGTCATTTCAGGACAAGATACTGGCACTGTGTTTTGGGACCTCATCAATGTTTAGTCACAAGAAAGCTTTTTGGGAATTTCTTGTAGGAAATGCAGCTCCTGGCCAGTCCCTGAGCACTCTGCAGTTGTTTTAAGTCAGACTGGTGTTTGGTATGTTTACAGCCAACAATCACACCCTGAAGAGAAACATAATATGGAAAAAATACTCTGCTGCTTCATATCAAACCAGGTAAATTACCTAAGAATACAAAAGCAGTAAAAAAATGAAAAGATCTTTGTGGGTGACATGAAGAGTACTCAGAATTACCATCCTGGAGGCTTAAAGCAAATGCATCCCTTCACAGAGATATTAGGGTGAAAAAGTCAAACCAGAAACTACTCAGGATGGCTAAATGACAGAGGAGAAGCTTCTGAGTCCAGAGAGACCATCTTTGAAAGAAGGTTGGGTCACATATTGCAAAAGGGGAAAGAAGAAATATTCAGCTCTTTTTGAGGCACATGGTGTCTGAACACACAGGAGTGTTCAGATAATTCCTCTGCATCCCTTTATTGTACAGGAGCTTGGGTTGCCCTGAGCCCCCTTGACACAGAACACAAGGGAGGAGCATTCTCCTGTTGAAATCTCTGTAGAAGAGATTAGAAAAACATCAACAGAGCAGATATCAGCGACTGGGCAGGAGTGGGTATCATTAACATAAGAGTGCCCTGGGATTGCCAGGATGAAATGTGCTATCTCCCACTTGAAAGGGCTCTGGCTATCAGGGGAGTGGCAGGGTGCTAATGTGATATACTGTTTTTAATGTTCTAGACAATTAAGTCTCACAAATTAGATAGACATAAGTTGTGTAGATACACAAATTAGTAGAGACTCTTCTAAAGAATACAATTAATGGCCATATAGGAAATATGAGATAAGAGGAAAGGCAGCTTTGGCAAAGGAGTGTTATCTCTAAAAGCCCCGAGAGTTCTTTGAAGAAATCCAGGAGTCCAGACAGGGGAGATTTCATGGTTTGACACTGTCAAAGGCGTCTGTCCCAGGGCACTTCCTGGCTCCACCGATGCTTCTCGCCCCAGTTTGGGCATTCCTGTGTCCCAGTTTCCCATGCCGATCCAATGAGGTCCTGCTTACTCTGGGTCGTGACAGGATCTGGAAGGAATCATCCGAATCCCCTGGTGGCACAGCTCTCCTTGCCACAGCACAGGATTCCAGGATGGGACAACGTGCTCTTGACAGCCGTGGCTATTCCCATCGCTACAAACTGATAAAGATACTTTCTTCCCTGACTGGCATAGCCAGGGAATGATTTCTGGTATAAAAAATGAGGCACTGGATGAAGTTCACAGGTTAAAAATCTAATACAGACAGGAAGAGGTACTGCCTTGCACAACACAACACCCAGGTGGGCTTTGGAGCTCCTCCTGCTGCAGCCGCCCTGGATGCTAAAGGATCACAGGAGCTTCTAAGAGCGGTAGGATTTTCCTGGCATTATTTTTTCCCTATAACAAACTGCTGCTCACAGCCGTTCTAGATCACCCTGGGACTCCGAGGACTCTGGGAGAAGATGGCTGTGGGACAGGATGCCCTCCCTGCCCTGCTTTCAGACCATCCGGGAGCGGTGCAGCTCAGCCCTTGGCCGGGAGGTGGAGGTGCAGCATCACCTCCGGGCGGTGGGGCCAGCAGGAGCGGGAGAGCACCTGCGGTATTCCACAAGTCTCCGTCTCAGCAGCATTTTTGATACCCGGATTAGATCCCTGCGTGCCCCCCTGTACAGCCGTGCTCTGCTTTGGGGTCACGGTGGCCTTTGCCTTTCCTCAGCTGTTTGAACAGGTGACTCCGCATCCCCACACTCAGCCTCTCTTCTTCAGTTCTTTCCAACAGACGGGATACCAATCTGCAGCAGAAGATTTTTTGCTTCTTTCAATAGTTTCTCAAACTCATTTTTATTGCTCTTCTGTCATTTGG